AAGCATACTCAATCACATCCAAACTCCCTTGCTTTAACTCTAGAAACTCAATCTCTTTCTTCCCGCGCACATGCTCAGGAAAATGCTTCCTCAGAAATTCCCTACTGAACATAGCCCAAGTAATCACTTCACCTAGTGTTGTCAGTCTCTAATGAGTACAAACCCATCAGACATCAGCTTCCTCTGTCAGTTGATGTGTACTAAACCTCACCTTCTGCGCCTCTGAGAAATCCATGACTCGGAAGATTCTCTCAATCTCCTTAAGCCAAACTTGTGCTCCATCAAGATCGAACCTACCCTTGAAAACAGTTAGATGTTTCCTCTGGAACGTCTCCAAAGCATGGGATCCATCAGTAGGCTAATGTTGCACAGCTTGAGCAACAACCTGCAAAGCAGCAGCAAGTGTATCATCATTACTTCCAGCCATTTCTCTGTTTCACATCAATAACAGTCATAATGGTTAGAAATCATCTCAACAGTATTCCACTATCACACACTACAGACTCAATAATCTGGTCAGACGGACCAACCTTCTTTGATACTACTAATGTAACACCCCATTAAACCCCAAAGAATATTCGTAATTATTTTAATAAATAAACCATAGTATATCACCAAAAAGGGTGTCACATCTTCATGTAAAACATCATAATAATACATCATGCTCCGTAACACGGGTTGCAAAAACACTTTACATCATATAACACTTTGGTCTCATCATATAATCATTTCAAACTTCGAAGTGGAATTAATAAGTCATATCTTCTTCATAACTTTTAGTCATGCTTCATAATTCATACTTATAAAACAAAACATCTCGAGTACCACATAGGGTGACTCAACATCTTAAAACAAAACAAATAACATAAGTTCCAATCATTTGATCCCAACCCCGATGTTACATATCAGAGCAAGACTCCCTTTATTCAACAAAAGCAAACAAACACACTCTAAAGCTATCTTCTAAAGCTTCTAAGGACTATTCTTGATCACCTGCGCGTTACTCACGTGGAAACAACATTTAAACAAAAAAGGTGAGTAAATCATAATTATTATATAAGACATAAGGAATAGGCATAGTAAATATGCACATAAGAAAGGTATCACACATCATCATATATTCATGTTATACTCACACCTTTAAACCTTCATCAATATACGAACACACATCATCATACACAATGTATCATCAAGCATTACAATTAAATCATTATGCAATGTCACGTAGAATATTATGCAACATCATAGACTCATGCATGTGGTACCAAAACGTCACTGATGACTCAGTCATCATTATCTCCAAAGATCCCCACCATAGGATCGATTTCTGCTTGGAACCATAGAACTTCACTGTTGCACCCAATCCACACTATGGGATTGATGCTTTCACTATACAATTGCTCTATCATCTTCTCTAGACCGAAGTCCTAACTTCACTGGACCGAAGTCCTAACATATGCCATGAATTCATGATGCGGAAAAACATAATAAACACGACTGCGGCTAGTCAACACGCATCATCATTCATGATTATATCATCATATCATCATCTAATTATCATATCATCGGCATAACATCATATCATCATATAATCATCTTAATAAAACACCATATTATCATAACATCGTATAATCATCATCATAATAAAACATCATCATAATATCATCATCGTGTCATCATAATATCCAAACATTATCATATCACACAACATATCTTCATGTCATCATATTATATAAGGTAACATCATAATGTCTCCCAATTATCCCCTATTCATCTTCTAATTATCTTAATAAACAAGCATCTTCGTAATCCAACATGGGGAACTTAACTTCATTCTAGGTTATGTATAGGGAATATACTTCTTATTCTTCATTTTACTCCACATAAATAAAGTTCAGCGCGTTAGTCATCCAACGCTTCGAACGATACTTCAATCCAAGCTCTAAAACTCAAATTATGGCACTTTTAAGAAAATCCAACACGACCATTCAAAACTGGACCTCATCACCTGGCGACTCACCTTCATCACCGAGTGATGCTCCCTTCGTCACCACCATCGCCCGACGACGCTTAGAGCGACGCACTCCAGAAGCGTCACTCTTTTCTGCCTTCTCCACTACCTATTTCGCCTGGCGACACGTCTTCGCCCAACGACACTACCCACGTCATCCGGCGACGCTGCGTGAACAAGGTTTTCCTATTGTAATTTCTTGTATAGATCCAGTCCCAAATTCTGTAATTTCACCATATTACAGGTCTTAAAACATCATCTAGTCACAGGTTTTTATCATCTATCAATATCATGTGATTCTATACTCATTATACACCAATTATAAGTCATTAATCATTACCAATTCATCAATTCCTCATCAAACATCACCAAATCCTCATCTACCAAAACCTAAGGCAATCTACCATCATCTAAAACTTAAATTAAATATAATAACAATGATAAAAACTCCTCTTACCTTAATATTATTGCTAGAGATCAATTCCTCTTCGTGCTCTATCGGAATTCCTATGCTCTTCTTGCCTCTTTGTACCCTAGCTCTCTTTTTTCCACAGCGTTTCTCCAAATTCTATCGTGCAGAATGAGTGTGTTAAATTCCAAAGCTTCTCCTTATAAACTTTCCATTTTGGACTCCTAATAATGAATTTTCCATCATGCCCACACTTATCCTTCACTAATGACCACAATACCCTTAATCTCTCTACATCATATATTATTCCATTTATCTTAATTAAAATAATTCTAAATAATTACTTTAATGTATTCTAAAAATACACAATTGGTCAATATCACCTAATTTCCTCTATACTACTCATAGTAACCCATCACACATCATATTCATCAAATCATCACATTCAAACCTCATGTTTATCTCAATCATCATGGTACACTTCATACTCATCATAATTTAACAAATCACCATAAAAGCTCACATATAATCATCAAAACATCAAACACTTCACATTGACTCATGTAATCACGTTAAATTAATTAATTAATTAATCTAGAATTCAGGGTGTTACAAACCGCGCAATTTAAATGGACACTCACATTTCCTCAATCCTATGTCATCATGTTTTAACTTTCAAAGTTTTGGAACATATTTCTCACTTCCCTCGCATGTCATCGCAATAAATGGTTGCCTTCTACTAGTGTCATTGCCATACCTTCCAATCACAATATCAAACCCAAGTTTGCTAGCTTCCATTCGAACCTATTCAAGCATATGTTGGCGAGAGGTGAAACTTTTATCATTTGTAAATTGTTGTCCAACATCTATCACGACATCAATCATTTTATCAACGTCCTTCATCTCATTTGGCTTAGCATCTTCATTGACCTTGTCCGAAACCTTTACAACAGCTTTGAGAATATTATCGGGGTGCATCATACCTAACACAGGCAACAAAAAAAACAAATTTTGTTAAAACAATTTCCTGTTTATGTAACAGACATGTTTTCGGATATGCACATCTGAGTTATGGTAGATGGAATTCGGATATGCATATTCGAAGTGACGCTGTTTTTTTCATCCATAAATCAGCATCAATACAAGGAACGTGAGATGAAATGAGAAAAGTTTACCTCAAATTGCAGCTTTCTATACTATCTTTGCTATGCTCAAACACTTGAAACTTGGTTTGGAGACGAAAAATTGATTGAGAATGGTTGAACTTTTGTTAAAGGTTTTGGCTATGGAAGAAAAGAAAATGAATGAAATAATTGAAAGAGGTAGCCATGCAACAATCTAATATGATAAGGATAGTTTCGAATATACATATTTGAAATTACCTCTAAAATTTTAAATTCAACATTTAAATATTAAAACGTGAAAAAATGGTGTCTTTAAATGTGTATATTCGAAATATATTAAAAGGTGCGTTCGGATATACACATTCAAAGAATATTTTCAAATTTTCAAAAATTTAACTAACATATACAATAGAGAAAGAAATTCTCTTAATTCATTCCCATTAAAAAGCCACTTTATATGTGGGTGTTCCGCAGCCCACTCTTGCCCAATAAAATAAGACAAATCTATTTCAACAACATTTTAATTATTCAACACTATATTTACATTTTATTTTCCTTTTTTTCTCCTCCTAATCACAACTATAACTATAAATAAATATATTTTTATACAATATAAAAATATGAAGGTGTATCATCATTGAAATGACATCCTCGTGTTGTGATGAGATTCCATATCAATGTTGTGATAGGTTTTATTTATTTATCTCTTTAATAACCAATTGATATATTCTCAAGTGCATAATCTACTCATCTTGATTTGGACAATGATGCCCCACGTTTTAACAATTGCTTGGTCAATAATCTCCCTTAAACCACTATATGAATTGTTGACCTTTTTTTATTAATGAAGCACATAATTTTCCAAGAAAGAAAAAGTAGTTAATTTATCATCTTCCTTTCTCTATAATCAACTCTTTGACCTCACTTTTGAAGTCTAACAAATGGTTTTCAATCCTCATTTTCAACAAGGAAATATCACATATTTATTCCCTAATTTAGTCTCTAAATATATTGTTTCTTTGAGTCTTTGTTTGTAAATGCAATGAAGAAGGGCATGAAATTCAATTCTCATATGAATATAAGATTTTGAATTCAACATTATCATGCAGCAGATTCTTGTAAGTCAAATACAGCAGTCATATAGAAGATTTTAATTTATAGTTAATACTATTCCATTTTATATTATAAATTAATTTCATCTTTTTAAATTTATTAAATAATTAATATATCTGATTTATATATAGACTAAATACATTAATTATTTAATGAATCTGAAAAGTAAAATTTAGTTATAAAAGAGAAAGTATACATAATAGAAATGTCAAACATAACTATGTACTACAGTAACATTTTCATATCCAAAACAAAAATAACAACTAACATTTCATTCATCAAACTTGCTTTACAACTTTAGTGTTATTTGTCAATGATATACTAATCAAAGCAAGAACTAAGATCATTGTTGAGAGCCATCAAAACTCACACCATCAAGCCATGAAACAACCATTTCAATAGAAGGTCTTTGCCTTGGATCTTGGTCAAGACATTTACAAGCAATGGAAAGCACTTCCAATAGTTGTTTCTCCCTTTCCTTTTCCCATATGGCTTTATCAAAAATTTCCTGCTCATTATTTTCATACTTCATTTGATAAACCCAAGACACCAGATTCCTGCAGTTTTTCCCTTTTATGACTTCCACCGGCCTTCTACCGGTAAGAAGCTCGAGAAGAACGACGCCGAAACTATAGACATCGCCACGGAACGTTGCTGTCAGTGTCTGACTATATTCAGGAGGAATGTAACCTAGAGTTCCTACTAAATCTGTTGTGACGTGGGTATCGTACGGTTGAAGTAGTCTTGAGAGACCGAAATCGGCTAAATGAGCTTCAAACTTATCATCCAAAAGAATGTTGCTCGATTTAACATCACGGTGGACTACAAACGGTTCGCACCCCTTGTGCAAGTAAGCTAATCCACGAGCTGCGCCTTGTGCAATCTTGAGTCGGACATCCCATTTGAGAGCTGAACTTTCATCCACGCATTCGTGAAGCCAATAGTCCAAGCTTCCATTTTCCATGTACGAGTAAATTAGCAACCTGTCATTGCCGTGCCGACAATAGCCTTTAAGAGAAACAAGGTTCTTGTGTTGAGCTCGAGAGAGAGCCTCGACTTCGGCTTGGAATTCCCGTTCCATCTGACCGCAGTCGCCAGAGAGCCTTTTGACAGCCGCTTTTGTGCCATTCGGAAGATAAGCCTTATAAACAAGACCGAATCCGCCACAACCAACAATATTCGTTTGGTTGAAATTGTTTGTCGCTTTTAACAAATCCGAAACTGTGAGATCCTTGCAATCTGCATTCTGAAAAAGCACCAATTTAGACGAAAAAAGTGCTTCAGCTGATAACCTTTGTGGCCTACTATTCATCTCTTCGTCGAAGCTACCGATAGTTTTATCTTCTTCCCTCTTTGCCATTCTTACCACAACAAACGCAAGCAGCAAAGCAAGACCTACTCCTATGCTGATTGTTATGCCAAGAACATTGCCTCTATTAAATTTTCTCGATGAACCAGAAGAAAAACCAGGCCTCATATTGTTAACAATCTTGCAAGGAGTGACATTATCAATATCATTATCCCTGCAAAGTCCCAAATTACCCTCAAAGCTTGAACTAGGGAAGCTTAAAAACTGCCCTCCGCTCGGAATCGGTCCTTGCAAGTGATTATGCGCCACACTAAACTTCGACAAGAATGTGAGGTTGTTAAATGTGGGAGGGATTGTACCAGATAGATCATTATAAGACAAATCCAATGTTTCCAGATTCTCCATCTCAGAAATAGAAATTGGAATGCTACCGCTGATGTTGTTCCTGCTGAAATCCAACACATGAAGTGCCTTCAAGTTACCGATTTCTGGCCATATGCTTCCACTCAACATGTTATTGCTCAATAAAATCGAAGGAGGGAAACTTGAAGCTTGATTATATTGCAAACCACTAACACTGGTGTTTCTTTTAACAAAGAGCGGAATGAAAGCATATGTAGCCAAATTTGGTCTTCCACAATTCGAGCACAGGAGTCCCTTCATCTCTGTCAAACTTTTCGGTATTTCTCCCGAGAAAGAATTATTCGAGAAATCCAAATAGAACAAACTGTCCATTTCACCGATCCACGAAGGAATACTGCCATTCAAAGAGTTCCAAGACAAATCAAGCACCGCCAATTTCCTGCATTTCAATAGCCAAGAAGGAATGTGATTTTTCAGACCACAGTTTCCAAGTGCTAGCACCATGAGACTTTGAAATCCTGCAGTTGGCACACTTTGCGGAATTTCCTCACCGTGGAAATTCTTGGTAAGGATAAGAGTTGTTAGATTCTTGCACTTCTGAAGAACAGAAAGTGCACCAGATAAATTCTCTAAGCTGTTGTTTGAAAAAGATACAAACAAAAGAGAAGATAATTCGGCATAATTTTCAGGTACAGAACCATTTAAACCATTCCTAGCAAGGCTTAAAACTTTCAATTCATGGCAATAGGACAAAGAACTGGGAAGTGGTCCAGTTAAATGATTACTAGCAAGGTCTAGCGAACAAAGCCGAGTTAATCCGGTGAAATTAAGATCGATTGGACCCGACAAAGAGTTATTTTTAAGATCAAGTACTCTAAGCTTAGAGCATGAAGCCAAAGTGGAAGGTAATGGTCCAGAAAATGAGTTAGCATGTGCTACTAAGTGTTCTAACTGCAAAAGATTCTCAAAAACATTTGGGATTTCGCCTGAAAATCGGTTCGCAGAAACCACAAGAGATTTTAGACTAGTAAGCTTACTTAACTCATTGCTTAACTTGCCAGAAATATTGTTGGCAGAGAGTGATAACTGTTCCAAGGCTAACATTGAATACAATGAATCTGGTAAAGGGCCAGAAAATGAATTGGAATCCAAATGCAACCTTTGGAGAGATAAAGAGCAGTTGTTCAAACCTTCAAGATTGCCATCGAATCGGTTGGAAGATAAATCAAGTGTGTGAAGAGCCTTTGAAGAATTGCAAATTTGAGAACTGAATTTACCAGTGAATGAATTGTTACTCACATTGAGAGCAAGAAGATGTGTAAACTCCACAGACTGAAACAAGAAGTCTTCAGAAAATGAATTACTTGAAATATTCAACACTTCAATGGAAGACAAACCAGAAAGTGACTTAGAAACAGGTCCTAACAACATGTTATGGCTCAAATCAAGAAACTTCAAGTTCTTCAATTTTGATAACTCTTGAGGCAATTTACCCTCAAGATGGTTGTATGAAAGGTTCAACACAGTGAGATATTCTAGTTTTGCTAAAGAAGGTGAAATTGTTCCATTGAGACTCATCTCAGAAAGAATCAACTTTGTCACTCTAGTAACAGATTCTCCATTATTCTCACCACCACACACAACCCCAATCCATTTGCAGCAAACACTATCATTGGACCATAGTTTGACAATGGAACCATTTGTAAGGTTTCCTGCAAACTCTTTCAGAGCTGATAAATCACTAGGATCACAAGATTGAGTCCTATTATCAAGACTCAAAGAAAAACCAAGTAAGGAAGACAAGACACAACACTGAAATAGTGTCAACCAGAAACATCTTGGTAACGCCATTGTTGAAACGAAAAAGACTAAACTCTCATAGACAAACCAGAACAGAAGCTAGTATCACTGACACAAGAACCTCAAATGAAGCAACTTTCTTTTAATCACAACATGCACTTTGTAAAAAGAAGAAGAAACACCAACTTCAAGATCACCAATCCCAAGAACAAGAGATCTATGAAAACTCCTAGAAACCAATCGGAAAAACAAATAAAAAATGTTACACTAACCTTGAAGAAAGAGATAAGAGAGAAGTAGAACATGACCCATGTGACAACAGCTTGTGAATGAAGCAATCAACAGTTACCATTAAAAAAAAAAAAGGTGAGAAACAAGACGAAAGTTTAGAACTTTGACTCAAAAAAACATGCAAGAAAAAAAACCAGTTCAAGAGAAACCCTTTAGCCTAAAAATCAAATCTATGCTTATTTTAGACTTGAGATGGTAGAAACAAGCAAAGTTTTGAAATTTAAGGTGAATAAAGAAAAGAGGTAGTAGACATAAACAGTGTGAAGTGAACCTAACCTCAACAAAACTCTCATGAAACTAGATCTGGTTGAAGATTCTTCGAAACCAAACCCACTTTATATGTATGTTGAAAAAAGTGTACTTTTTAATCTGTTTGTGATGATTTTGAAAGGAAAACAAACAGTGATAGTAGTAGGTGTATAGAGTGTAGAGGAAGACAAAGATATGATAAATTTCAAATCAAAGGAAGTGTGGGGATTGTGTATGAGAGATAAAGTGGACAAGTCTTATCAAGAGATGAAGACAGGAAAGGAAAGTTCTTTATCTTTGGTTGGAATAATAAAGAAATGAAATGGTGGGTTTGAAATGAGGAAAGAGATATTGACTTGTGTGGATTAAGGAACAGGTAGCAGGTAGAACAAAAGTCTCAATAGCTGACTTGAAGACACATTTGTTTCTCTTTCTATGTATGTTTGTCAATGCGGGACACCTCATTTTTTTATCTTTTTCTCTCTTTGAAAGTCTTGTGAGGGTGGGTGGGTGGGTGAGTTAAAATTAAGAAGGTTAATGGATCGGGTTAATAAACACTTCCTCTATCACAAAATATTTTGAACTAAATTATGAGTGTTTTTTCAAAGAAAAATCGGATGTGTTTATTATTAAGGACGAATAAAATAAGTGTCGTGATTATGACTTATATTAAATCGAATCAAGTTTGAAATTTGATTTGACAATGAAATTTGATTTGATTTGATGAAACGGTGGAAAGGGACCGAACATACAGTAGCTACATTATCGCAAACATTCGAAAATCCTAACAAAATTTGATAATAGTTACATGAGTCACATTAATCGAACCCAAAACCAAGAAACCCATAACTTGGCTTGTAAAGTAATTCAAGCCTTTATGGAATGCGATATTACCATTTCAAAAATAAAACAAAAAAATTTGAGTTGAGTCAATAGATAGATGTATGTCTGAAATCAAATATAGGTTAGATTGAGGAGCAACATGTAATCAGAGATATTCATCGTCAGAAATGTCTCCATCTAATCAATAGATCAAGCTCCTTTGAAAATGTTTGAAGGTCTATGTGTTCCAAAGTCCGACCTTTATCAGAGGCTTTGTTGTCAGAAAAAGTTTGAACATTTCTTTTGGTAATTAAAAACATTGGAAGAGTTATTGAAGACATATTTAAGAGTGAAATGAGAAGTTGTGTGATAAATTATGGAGATGAATGGTATATTTATAAAAAAAACAAAACAAAACAACTTAGTAGACATACATTGTGGTGCATGCACCTAATGTTATAATGTACGTACCATCCTCTATGACGCCTCCCTAGTGCATGCAACATCACGCATGTCGTCTCCTTATTATTTAGAGTGCATGTGTCACATACAGTGGCACATCCTCTATGTTACAAAAAATGTTTGAAAGATGATTAGTTTGAGAATTATTTTGAAAAGATTGTTATTTGAGATTTTTTTAAATGATTATTTATCATTTTGTATTCTTTATTATCTTTATTATATATTTTTTTAATATTTATCATTTTCTATTCTTTCAATTCTTTAAATTTATCTTTTTTATACCATTAATAAATGTTAAGTTTGTAAAATTCTTCATAAATTTTCATTTTCATATCTTAAGGGGTGTGTGAGAGAGGTGGGGGTGGGTAGATGACGCCCTCATTTGAGACTCTAGGTGGAGGAGATATTTCTTTGTTAATGAGAAATTATTGTTGTTGATTTCCTTTAGTCATTCGAGAGCATTTTTTTTCCTTGGACAAAAATAAGTAGAATTAGAAGCTTGTTATGGATGGTACTTTCTTAGTGTCTTATGATTATTATTCTCTTTTGCCTTCTTCGAATTTTTTAAGTCAACCCTTCTTCACACAAAATTTGTCTCTTCCTCTCGTTTGGGATAGTTAAGCATCGTTTAAGGTGGTTATTTTCTCTTTGCAACTTCTACTTTATAGATGCTCTTCTAGAGAGAATTTATTCAAGGGAAAGATGATTGTGAACCCTCGTCTTACCTTGTGTCCTATTTGAGGTGATTTTTGTTGAGTCGACTTCACACTTGTTTGTCACTTGCGAGGTAACTCTACAGTATTTATAGATTATGGATGTTATAGTGATGAGAGGTAAAACTAAAAAGACACTCTCAAACATGATAAAGAAGAAAATGATCGATAATATATATATATATATATATATATATATATATATATATATATATATATATATATATATATATATATATATATATATATATATCCCAGCATCAAAATAGTGTTAAGATAGATGTTACAACATCTAGTAGCAGACCAGATCAATTAAGTTATAAGTGATACATAAATAAAATTGTCAAATGATAAATAACACGTAGAGTTGTTATATCAGTTTGCTGTAACATCACCTACATATGAGGGCTACCAAGTCAGAAAAAAAATCCACTATCAACAGTATTAGTTTAAAGATAAACAATCTCAGTTTACAGCTTCTCACCTAATTCTTACCCAATACAACTTCTACCTAGGCATCTTCTAGATATAAGAAATCGTCATCTCACTTCCTAAATCACCTCAGTGATATCTGATAAGTGCAAAATTATAGTTATTTTGTATATACTTTTTGTTGCACTTATCGACTCTTGGTTGTTAATATCAGTTGAATAACCCAACTTTATGTATAAATATGTTTAGTTTGTGTATAATTCATTTTCGTGTTTAAAGTGTATCGTTTGATAATTTTATACTCATTTTGTAGGTATTTGAGTATTGTTGGAGCAAGAGGAATAAAGCTCCAAGATGCATTTTTGATCAATGAAGAATAAGGCTAAAGATTGGAGCCAATTGGAAGTTATGCAGGAAAGCAACTGAAGTTGCTGGACTGTCATGGATTGTCGGGCGATAGAAGCTGTCGTCGGGTGAAATTTGAAGGCCATTTTTGATGATTACTCCTGTCTTGCTTCGCTGATGCGTCGCCATGCGAGGAATAAAGGTATTTCATGGAGAAGCTTTCTGTCACCAGACGATGGAGGATATTTTTAACCTACTGAGGATGTGGCTTATCCTGGGCCAAGTGTATAGAAAGAATCGTCGGGCGATGCTTTCTGTCACTAGGAGATTCTCACGGAATAACATTTCTTTATATTTCCTTTTCATTTCATTTTTGGGTGGATGGTTTTTGGGGTATTTGTTTCCAAATTCCATCACCTTCATTCTTGATAGTTAGAGCTTAGACAACAACATTTGTGGCTTGCAAATGGATGATTCGGGATCGTGAGCTTGATGGATCGTGTTTGACAATACGGGAAATCTGGTTTCTTCTCCTCTTCCTCTCTTTGTAACCATTATTTGTTGGATTTTATATGTAACTTTACCTTGATTATATGTATATTTATTGCTCATGGTGTTGTATGAAACTTTCTTTATAAATCTTTATTGATGTTTATCCTTGTTAGCTTGCTAAGTGTTTAGGTTTGAGTCGTCGCAGAGATGGACAAATTGAATTGAGATTTAGGATGAATATCTATTGGACTTAGATTCTAGAGATATATTTAGGCTTAGTAATCACTTAGGTATCAACTCTTAATGCCTCTGTGTTGTTTTGTGTTATGTTGAGAGATCATCGACATGGAGTGACACAGTTGATATCTTGCTCTGCGTTAGAAATGACCTTTGCGTGAGCAATATGTGATGATATTGACGAGTAGTTAAGATTAAGTACAACTGAGTAGTAAGTTTAAGTATGAGATAGGGTGGACGGAATACAAACTCGAGAGTTCTATCCTATTCGAATGATGAAATTCTTCTTGTGTATAACTTTTATGTTCATTTATTTTCCTTTCTTTACAAACCAATTCAAACCAAACTCATGAGCGCGAGAATTTGTCTAACGACAATTCAATAACCAATCTCTGCGGACATGATACGATATAACCTAAATATCACCCGGTAAAAAAATATTACTTTACTTTTTGCTTGTCGCTATTTACCGCAGTAATAAAATGGTGTCGTTTCCAGGGATCGGTTCTATTGATTTCGCATTGCGATAATTCTTTTGTTTTTGAGTTTTGTAATTAATGTATATGTTGTATAGGAATTGTACATGAATTTTTATACGATTATAATATTTGTGAATTTTAATAAAGGTGTCGAGCTTACAACGTAAAGCAAGCATGTTTTTGTTTGTATTTGTTTATGTGTGTGGTGATTTGTGTTTTAACAAGTTGAAACAAGAAAATATTCTGAATTTCAAATCTTCACTTTTCAACTTGTTAATTCATTTTCACTCGGTTTTCATATTGTTATGTGTATTTGTTTTCTTATGTCAATTTTTGTTTTCCGAAATCTTGTCGTGTTTAGCTTGAAGAGTTTTGTTCGTTGTATATATTGTAAATTTTATACATTGAAATTTTGTAGGAGTATTATATTTCTAATTCTTTTGATTGTTGTTTGGACTCCAATTTTTATCCAATATCTTGAGGAATTTATAGGCGATTTTCCAAGTCTGAACGTTTCAACTTGCGGATG